ATTGGATCATTCCCACTGATCAAGGAAACCTCAACAACCGTCACCGACTTTTTGAAAATTTGGACAAATGCCAAAATTACGTTTTATCAAACTAGTATAATGGTCTGTCCCGTAGACTATCAGTAGTAAATTTTGACGCAGTTGTTTGAACAGCTGAAATTGGCACCTTGGGATGAGCTATTTTTTTCATTTTGTCTGATTTTGGAGACTATTTACAGCAACTGGAAATTCGTAGCAGTTCAAAAACAAACCTGTTCCGGTAAACTTTTTCGGACAGCTGCACTCTTGCCTAGAGCCAAAATCTCCACATACTCCACCATTGAGGCATGGCTCACCAATGCAACGATTCGGTGCAATTTCACAGTCTTTTCCGCTCACACCTAAAGAATGCTTAGATTTGATTACATTCGTAATTAGCCTGCTTCAGCTGCATTATAATCCAATCGAGTAAGTTTGTCCGGTAGATATAGTGCCCTTGCGGTGCCGAGAAAATGCTGTAAAGTCGCGCGCGAAAAATTGGCTCACCTGATGTGCTGGCAATCTGCGCGCGCAAATCACCAGCGATACAGACTTATGTTCACGCGCAAATTTTCTCGCAATTTCTAGCTAAATTTACCGCCAAATCTACTCAACTGTATGTACAAGAAAGTGTGATACAAACCTTCAGGGCAGACACAGAAATAATCGGCTACAAGATTTACGCAACGACCGTCGTTACGGCATGGATGGGAATCACAGCTGCCGGTCTCTTGCTCGCATCTATAAAAAAGGACTTGCTTATTCCGCATGAACACTAAAGGTTAGGCTTACGTGTCTCCAGTCCATCCATTAGCACAAACACATCTGAAGGAAGCGCCTTCATCAAAGCAGGTGCCATTATTCATGCAAGGCGACGAAGCACACTAAATTACGTAAACATTTTCCAAAATGATCCGCTTTAGCCGCTTGAGGTTGCGTCTAGAGTTTTTGTCCCAGCGCCGTGCCACCGCCGTGCCTGCAATGTCAATCGATCGATTAGGACTTGTTCAAGTATATTCCGACAAGTCACTGGCACTGCGACGGAACAGCTCTGGCACAGCGCTGGCACGCGCAAACTCTGGACATGGCAGCGCTTTTACTCGATGCGTTATTTGTTTTGTCATCAAAAAACACTATTAAAAATGAACGAAAACAAGTGTAGATAGCTGAAGACCTAATCCTCATATTTTATCTGAGTCTTAGATAGAGAAGACAAATTAGCATACAAACCTGATCAATTCGTTGTTCACAGAATTCGCCACTATAACCTGGTTTGCAAACGCAAGTGAAGGAATTGATACCGTCCTCACAACTCTATAAGAAGCAAGATTTTAAGGGCTCTTTGCAATTATTTTGCAGATTTCGTACAAGAGTTATAACCCTAGACATGACAGGTTGAAATAACTAGGAAGATTTACAGTACACACATTTCTCACATGCAGGAAATTGATAA